TTCCGCGAGGCCGTCACCGAGTTCGAGGTGGACGCGCGGGCGCTGACCAAGGCCGGCGGTGGCCACGTCAAAGCCGTGGTGTCCAACCCGTCCGGGAACGTCACCGACACCTTCGTGGAGGATCGCGGGGACGGCACCTACCACGTCGAGTACACACCCTACGAGGAGGGTCAGAGCACTTTTGGGGTGTTTTTGGGGATTTTTGGGGATTTTTTAGGATTTTCAGGGATTTCGTGAGATTTGGAAGGATTTTTTGGGAGGATTTTGTGGGATTTCGTGAGGTTTTGAAGGATTTGGGGAGCTGATTTTGTGGGATTTTGTGCGATTTTGAGGAGATTTTTTGAGGGGGATTTTTTGGGATTTTTTGAGCTTTTGAATGATTTTGAGGGGATTTTGGGGGGGATTTTGTGAGACTTTGAGGGGATTTTTTAGTGGACTTTGTGAGATTTTGAAGGATTTTTTTGGGAGGATTTTGTGGGATTTTTTTAGCTTTTGAATGATTTTGAGGAAATTTTTTGGGAGGATTTTGTGAGATTTTGAGGGGATTTTTTAGTGGACTTTATGAGATTTTGAAGGGATTTTTCGGGGGGGATTTTTGAGAATTTGAAGGATTTTTGAGGGGGATCTTGAGGGGGATTGGGGGGATTTTGATGGATTCTGATGGATTTGATAGGATTTTAATGGATTTTTATGGATTTTGATGGGTTTTTGGTGAACTTTGTTGGACTTTGATGCATTTCAATGGATGCTGATAGATTTTAGACCACTTTTGACGTATTTTGATGGATTTTGATGTTTTTTTATGGGATTTTGTTGGATTTTGATGGATTTTGATAGATTTTAGATGGTTTTGGACGGATTTTGGGTCTATTTTATTGAATTTAAATGGGATTTTGATGGATTCCAATGGATTTTGATGGATTCTGATTGTTTTTTATGCGATTTTGATGGATTTTTGTGGGGGTTTTTATGGATTTTGGGTGGATTTTATTGGATTTTGTTGGATTTTGATGGATTTTATGGGGATTTTGATGGATTTTGGGTGCATTTTATATGATTTTGATGGATTTTATGGGGATTTTATGTGGATTTTTATGGATTTAGGGTGAATTTTGCCAGATTCTGAAGGATTTTGTCCCTCCCCAGGCCTGCACACGGTGGATGTGACGTACGGGGGGTCCCCGGTGCCGCTGAGCCCGTTCCGTGTCGCCGTCACCGAGGGCTGTGACCCCACCCGGGTTCGAGTGCACGGCCCCGGAATCCAGAGCGGCACCACCAACCAACCCAACAAATTCACCGTGGAGACCCGGTGAGACCCTAAAACCGACCCTGGAACCCCAAAAACCAACCCTGGAACCCCAAAAACCCCAAAACACCCCAAAACCCAACCGTGGAACCCCAAAAACGAACCCTGGAACCCCAAAAACATCTCAAAAACCAACCCTGGAACCTCAAAACCCCGAAAACATCCCAAAACCCAACCCTGAAACCCCAAAAACCCCAAATCCTGCCCCGGAATCCAGAGCGGCACCACCAACCAACCCAACAAATTCACCGTGGAGACCCGGTGAGACCCTAAAACCGACCCTGGCACCCCAAAAACCCCAAAAACACCCCAAAAACCACCCTGGAACCCCAAAAACCCCAAATACCC